GAAAGTGGGGGGGCCAGTCCCCCCACCCCTTCCTGCAACCTCCATCCTCTTCCCACCCCATAAGCCCCTGCCCTGTCCAGACACAGCGCTTCTGCCCAGTCCAACCATTGGTCCCCTGGAGAGGAGAGGAAAACCCCAGAGGAAGAGGGGAGGGGGGAGGCCTTCTCAGAAGCGGCTCTTGGTTTCCGCAATCCCACCCAGGAAGCAGCCAGAAACCTTTTCCTCTCTCTCAGGCTTCCATCTTTAATGTCTTTTCCACTGAGGATGAGGATAATGTACACCTGTCATCAGAAACGGGGGTGCAGAGTCCATGGAATCCCTGTCAGGATTGATAGAGAAGTTGCACCTCAAAAGCATTTCTGTTCCGCCTATTCTTTGTAGGCAATGTCAGAGGGACTGACAAGCTGAGATACAATCCTTCAGCATCCGATGACAGCGACTGCATGAATCTTCCCAGTCAAACGACCCATTTTCTGGTTGGGTTTCCGCAGCCCCTCTGGGCAGGTTACAGCACATATAAAAAACAGTAAAACATCAAACATTAAAATCCTCCCGATTCACGGCTGCCTTCAGCTGTCTTCCAAATGTCAGGTAGCTGCCCATTTCCTTGCCCTCTGCCTGGTTCCCTGTAACTTCGCTTCTCGCAGGCAAGGAACCAGCAGAAGACCCTCAGAAGAGGACCTCAGTGTCCAGACTGAGCCATGGGGGGTGGAGACGCTCCTTCAGCTCTACAGGGCCGAGGCTATTGAGGACTTCAGCTCGCAGATCTTGCTCCTCCATAATGACCTCCAGAGCAAGTCCGACGTATATTTAGCAGAGTAGGAAAAAACGCAAAGAGGCAGCAAACATTTTATTCAGCAAATAAATTTATTACTGAATGCAAAGAAGCATAACAGGATCCAAAACATAGCAAAGCCCTAACTTAAATAGAAACCTAACTTGGCATACCAAAGCAGCACTCAAGTAAATAAAAAGAAATGTCCAGTAGCTCCTTAGAGACCAACTAAGATTGTCCTGGGTATAACCTTTGATGTGCATGCAAACGTCTTCAGATACACTGAAACAGAAGTCGCTAGACAGACCCTTATATATAGTGGGAGGGTGGGGTGGGGTTTTTCTCAGAAGGGTAGTAGGAGATGGGTATGGTAAAGCTGTTGACAACTGTTAATGACTGCAATTAGTCCTACAGGAAAAAGCAAGGGATAGTATGCAGATGACCAAAAATAGCTTTAGTATGTGTAATGAGACAAGAATCCAATATCTCTATTCAGACCAGGTCTCTCCATTGTTTTCAGTTTAGTAATAAGTTGTAATTCAGCAACTTCTCTTTCAAGTCTCTTTTCAGCAACAAGTATTTCAAGTATTTCTGAAACTCCTTTTTTATTAATTTTGACTGCGTCAGACCAATACGGCTACCTGCCTGAATCTAGCACTCAAGTAAGACACACACAAGCAGAGTAGAGAAATAGCAGAATAGGACGTAGGACCAGGCGCCTTTCAATACTGCAATTTATAAACAATTCAGTGTCAGAGTAACGTTGGGACGGGATAACAAGCCTGGCTCACTCCAATTTAACCAGCTTCATCTGGTTCCCAAAATCAAGGAAGGTTCAGCATAATCTCACTACAACTTATTCCACCACCTGCTCTCAGCAGAAAGGAAGCTCCCTGATCAGCTAAAATGTTCCAGCTAGAGAAAACTCCAGCTTTGAATCACACAGAGCAAAACCACCAGAACCTTCTTGAAGCAATAGACCAGGAATGATTGATCTCTCTACATTAGATCAATACTTTTCTATGCCTGAAAAATGCAACTATGACACTTTAAAGGTCAGCACCAACAGTGTGAATTGTGCTTGGAAATGCACTGGGAGCCAGGGAAGATCCTTTAGCACAAGTGATATGTTGTCTCGGCGCCTGCTCCCAGTTACTAGTCCAGCTGCCCCATTCTGGATTAGTTGCAGTTTCTGAGTCACCTTCAAAGGTAGCCCCATGTACAACACATGGCAGTAGTCCAAAGTGGAGATAACCAGAGCATGCGCCACTCTGGTGAGACAGTCCGAGGGCAGGGAGGGTCTCATCTGGCGTACCAGATGGAGCTGGCAGACAGAACTGACCTGGACACAGAACTGACCTGCGCCTCCATGGACAGCTGTGAGTCCAAAATGACCCCCAGGCTGTGCACCAGGTCCTTTTGGGCCACAGTTAACCCATTCAGGACCAGGGAATCCTCCACATCTGACTGTCCTCCAGGGACAGTACTTCTGTCTTGTCAGGATTCAACCTCAATCTGTTAGCTGCCACCCATCCTGAAATCACCTCCAGGCACCAACACAGGGCATTCACCACCTTCACTGGTTCCAATTTAAAAGAGAGGAAGAGCTGGGCATCATTCACATACTGGTGAACACCCAACCCAAACCCCCTGATGATCTCTCCCAGTAGCTTCATATAGATATTAAAAAGCATGGGGGAGAGAATGGAGCCCTGGGGCACCCCACAAGTAAGCATCCAGGGGTCTGAACACCACTTTCTGGACACGGCCCAGGAGGAAGGAGGGGAACCGCTGCATAACAGGGTCCCCAGTTCCCCTAGAGGGTCCAGAAGGATACCATGGCCAAAGGTCTCCAAAGCCGCTGAGAGATCCAGCAGAACCAGGAAACAGCTTTCCTCTCAATATCTATCCCATTGGAGATAATCAGCCAGGGCAGTTCAAGTCCCATGATGAGGCCTGAATCCCCATTGGAAGGATCAGGGTGGCAGAAGCTTTCCTGGTCCTGCAGCCCCAAAACTTCCAGTCAGAATTCTTTAATTAGCTTTCAAGGGGCCACCTGATACATTGTGGTCTTTTCTTCGAAAACAAATATTTTGAATACTTTTACAGTGCCGTATGATGTAAATATGGGATGCGGGTGGCGCTGTGGGTTAAACCACAGAGCCTAGGACTTGCCAATCAGAAGGTCGGTGGTTCGAATCCCCTTGATGGGGTGAGCTCCCGCTGTTCGGTCCCTGCTCCTGCCCACCTAGCAGTTCGAAAGAACGTCAAAGTGCAAGTAGATAAATAGGTACCTCTCCAGCGGGAAGGTAAACGGCGTTTCCATGCACTGCTCTGGTTTGCCAGAAGCGGCTCAATCATGCTGGCAACATGACCTGGAAGCTGTATGCCTGTTCTCTCGGCCAATAAAGCGAGATGAGCGCCGCAACCCCAGAGTCGGTCACGACTGGACCTAATGGTCAGGGGTCTCTTTACCTTTACCTTTATAATGTAAATTTTGTTTCTGTTTCCCTTGTTCCACATCAGAGAGACTTTGATACACAGCTCTGAGCCCATCTCCCCACTTGAAACTGCTGTGTTTGTAGCACTGCCAGCCTGGGCAGTGTGTTTGGGGGTCCTGGGCTGCCTAGACAAGAAGACCCCCTTCTCAGCCTAGCTTATATGGTCCCAAGGAACACAGAGCAGTAGGTTTGGCACCAGCTTGGCTGCAGGTGTTGAATGAAGAAGGTATGCAGGACACCATCCAACCATCTTAGCGACTCCACTCTGGAGTCTTTTCTTCTCCTGAACATAACTCACGAGACCACGAATGTTTAGGACCAGAGTTTTCCTTCTTGATGGGCTCCCATTCCCGGTAGACGGCCAGTTGAAGCCATTCCTTGGATTGTGGCCCCTGTTGCATCCTGACAGCTTCTGGAAGCCTCAGGTGAGAGCTGTGTGCAGGGTGGGGACCACCAAAGGTACTACCGCTCCCATAACACCCCATGACATCAGATAATTACAATATTTGAGACAGAAGTGGAATAAATTCATGTCTCTAGAAATAACACAACTTCAGGCCATCAATAATTCAACACTACATATTCAAGGTTGAAGTTTTCACTAGTACAGTTATCCATTTGCCTTTAATATGCAGCTTTTTCAGTGTCACTTTAGGATGGGCTCGATATCAGGCAGCCCATCATTATTGTAAGGAGCAGTGGGGGTCTGGGATTCCGATGTGCCAGCTGCTTTTCTTCTGCTTCTCCTGCTCTCTCCATGCAATGTGAGGCATGTAGATGGAGGTCCATCTCCAAGAACAGGAACTTGCCTGAGCACCCATTCAGCTGACCCCGAGCACCAAGCCTTGTCACTAGTTCTCTGACTGACCCAGACCACAGTCCCTGGAAAAGACATAGACCTGGGCCTCACATAATGGTCCACATGGACCTCCTGAGGCCAATGGGACTGTGCAAGTGATTCATGAAGATCTAGAGGTGGATGGAGGATTATGATGCAGAGGATGGGGAATGTCCAAAGGAATGATGAACCAGAGAAAGAGAGGGCCTGTTCACGGACAGTGAGCAGCTGCCTTTCCTGTGAGGAAACAATGATTTGAAAAGGCTGTATTCAGGATCATGCTGCTTTATTAACGATGTTTGAGGATTATGAAAGATGGTGATGCATTACTATCATTTGATGACATTGCTTTTTCATTTCCTAAAAGTTGGGAATATGGGTAGGAGGCGGGGAACGTAGGGTATGTTGATATAAGACAGTGCTAATGGCATTTGATGTGCTCTCTTTCCCTTTGTTCTCTTCCTTGAAACCCAAACAGGATTTCCTTTCCTCCCAATCTGAAGAAGGTGATGGAGAAGACATTCAGAATTCCAAGGAATGGGGCACCTTTCGTTTCATTAGGAATAGAAATTAAAATGTATGAAATGTGGGATATGCTTCGTTGAATTAGCACACATAGCTCACATCGACTCCAAGAGAGGAGAAACCATTGAAAGGTATGGAGAGTGGGAAAGGTTTCACTGATAGTGGAAAACATAGAACACATCAGCGGACTCACATGGGCAAGAAAGGATTCAAATGCAGGGAGTGTGGGAAGAACTTTAGTCAGAGTGGACTCCTCAATATACACCTGCGGACTCACACAGGGGAAAAACCATTTAAATGCATGGAGTGCGGAAAAAGCTTCCGTCAGAGTGGACACTTAAGTTCACATCTACGGACTCACACGGGTGAAAAACCTTTTAAATGCATTGAGTGCGGAAAGAGCTTCAGTAAGAGTGGACACTTAAGTTCACATCAACGGACTCACACGGGTGAAAAACCATATAAATGTATGGAGTGTGGAAAGAGCTACAGTAAGAGTGGACACCTCAGTAAACATCACCAGACTCACACAGGGGAGAAACCATATGAATGCAGGGAGTGTGGGAAGAGCTTCAGTCAGAATGAAAGCCTTAAATTACACCAGCGAACTCACACTGGTGAAAAACCATATAAATGTATGGAGTGTGGAAAGAGCTTCAGTCAGAGTGCACACCTTAGATCACATCAACGGAATCACACAGGGGAGACACCATTTAAATGTATGGAGTGCGGAAAGAGCTTTAGTGATAGTGGAAACCTTAGAAAACATCAACGGACTCACACAGGGGAAAAACCATTTAAATGTATGGAGTGTGAAAAGAGCTTTAGTGATAGTGGAAGCCTTAGAAGACATCAACGGATTCACACAGGGGAGAAACCATATAAATGTATGGAATGTGGAAAGAGCTTCAGTTTCGATGCAGGCCTTAGATCACATCAACAGACTCACACAGGGGAGAAACCATATGGGTGTATGGAGTGTGGAAAGAGCTTCAGTAAGAGTGGAACACTTAGAATACATCAACGGACTCACACAGGGGAAAAACCATTTAAATGCATTGAGTGTGGAAAGAGCTTCAGTGGAAATAGATACCTTAAAACACATCAACGGACTCACATAGGGGAGAAACCATATAAATGTATGGAATGTGGAAAGAGCTTCAGTTACGATTCAGGCCTTAGATCACATCAACGGACTCACACAGGCAGGGGGAAACCATATGAATGTATGGCGTGCGGGAAGAGCTTCAGTCAAAAAGGAGACCTTAAATTACACCAGCAGACTCACACAGGGGAGAATCCATTTAAATGCCTGGAGTGTGGAAAGAGCTTCAGTCAGAATGGAGACCTTAAAACACACCAACGGATTCACACAGGGGAGAAACCATATAAATGTATGGAATGTGGAAAGAGCTTTAGTATGAGTGGATACCTCAATATACATCAACGGACACACACAGGGGAGAAACCATTTAAATGCATGGAGTGTGGAAAGTGCTTCAATCAGAGTGGACACCTCCGTATACATCAACAGACTCACACAGGGGAGAAACCATATGAATGTATGGAGTGTGGAAAGAGCTTCAGGCAGAGTGCACACCTTAGAAGACATCAGCAGACACACAGAGGAGAAACCGTTTAAATGTATGGACTGAGGAAGGAGCTTCAGTCAGAATGGAACCCTTGATTTATGTCAACAAGTTCACACAAAAGACAAACCTTATAAATAGCCGGAAAGTATATAGAGGTTCAGTCCTAGTGGAAGTTTTAAATCAACAGAGTCTTGGACAGGAAGAATTTTAGGAGTTGAAACCCTACAAACCATCAAGAAACTCAGAGAGGAGAAGCAGTTTAAATGAAAAGATTGCAAAAAGTGCTTTATTTACAAAGGAGTGTTTAAGGAACATCCAGGGACTCTCACATGGAAGAACCCATTTAGATGTATGGAGTGCGGGACGTCTTCCTCTCAGAGTCCACTCTTTTCTTCACAGAAATGAACTCAGGAGAAAATCAGTCTTTAACACATGTTGTGTATGTGAAGTTCTGGTATTTATGTGTAAAACTGTATAGTAATGAAATATTGAAGGCAATGTCAAACAATGTGATTATAATCTAAGATGTAAAGTAGCTTTTGATAGAGAAGGGGTGAGGCTTTATCTGGAATTCTGGTGGTCAGTGAGGATTAGGGCTGGGCGATATATTGTCCAAACTGGTTTCTAGACCACATCATGATAACCTTCCAAAAACAATGGATATGGCAACACACCACAGATCACAGTGTGTGTTTCTGTGATGCCCATTTGCCTGGAAGCTTTTCTTCGTGAAGCCCCTGCAGATGCTGAGTTGCTGACTTCCCTCCCAGACGACAGGAAGCGAAAGACACACCTCCATTGCCCTGTGTCCTTCCAGCCTCTTTCCTCCCTTGCTCCCTTCTGCCGGTTTGTGTGCCTGACTTAGATATCCTGTGTGCTGTATTTTTCTATTGCTGAAACTGGATTTGCTCTCAGGAGCTACGTTTTGTGCCTCACTGGGGACCCAGTGAGAACTGTATGCTTTGAAAGCTCAGTAAACTATTACTGAAGAAGTCCTGCTGCCTCTGTGTGTGTTTTTGACCTCAGTGTGGGACTTGCTCTGCACGTGGCCCCTACCCTGCTGCTACTTGGCTCATGCCCTGGAGTTGCTCTACTCAAGCATGCAAGACGGTTTTTGCACCAAACTCTGTCATCCCCCCAACGCATGATCTCCAAGCACTGATTCTTCACCGAAACGTCATCCCTGCCTCCTAAGCATTCTGAAGAAAACTTATAATACTGTAAGTTAATGGGTGGTTTCCCCCCAAGCCTAATTGCAAGAGGGGAATGGAGAGGCTGCAGGGACCAGGGAAGTCTCCTGGGGGGGCCATCTTCACCCCATGGGGCAACCCCAGAACTCCTGCTTATTCTGGGGTTTGGGGAAGATAGTACTTTTCCATAGTCCCAGAAGTTTTTATTCAGTCATGCTACTCGGGAGTTTTCCTACTGGAGGACCACAGTGCTGTGGCTGCTGTTGTTGTCATGGACTGGCTGGTGAGGGGGGGGAGGCACCAGTTGGGGGACCCACAAGGGAAGAAGGCTCAGAGCCTGGGAACTGGTGGTGGGATAGAGATGAGCAGATAGAGGGAGAAGGGGGAGAAGAACTGGAGGGAGAGGAGGTGTTGCAAGCTGAGGAGGAAACAGGGTTTGGTGAGTGGGAAGAGGCTGGGGCAGAGAGCAGTTCAGGCTCGGAGGGAGGAGAGGAGGGGGCCAGGAGACCCAGAGGAGGCTGGCTGCTGAAGCATCCAGGGAGACCCCCCCCCTCCTGCTACGACCAGCTCCCCTCTCCCCTGGTCTCCCAGAGCACACAGAGAAATCCAATTCAGACCCCATGATCCTGTATATGATATTCAGAGGTGTTGTTTTTTTGTCCTTGCATGCATCACTTTAATCTCATTGACAATGAACTGTGTTTTCTGCCCATTCACCCCATTTGGATAACTCTTTTTGGAGCTGCTTGCAAATTCTCTTTCTTTGAACAACCCAGGACAATTTACTGCCATCAGCAAACTTTGTCCGCTCCCTGCTCCCTCCTAAGTCTAGATCATTTGCGAACAAGTTGAAAAGCCGCAGGTCCCAATACTGATCTTGAGGGGACTCCGCTTCTGCTCCTCTCCATTCAGAGACTGTCCGTTTACTCTCTTGGTGTTTCAGAAGGAGGGCTGCCTCCAACTGGGGAGGCACATTTCTTCTAGGGACACATTTCTGGGGTCCCCATGGTGCCCCCCAGCCTGGCTCCACTCAGCAAGGGCAGCTGCATTTTGTTTCGCTGCAGGTGAACTTTTCCTTTGAAACATGGGGTCTTAAAGGAACTTCATGGGGGGGGATCAGTGAGAAGGAGCTTCTGGAGCCTGTGCTGCCCCTCCCCACCTGAAACTTTCCTGAGCCCCTCCCCTTTTCATTTCTATGACTGGGGGTCCCGCACAGCCCTCAGGGTTAGGGTTAGTATCTAGGGGGGGAGCTATTTTGTTTGCTGAGGGCAGGGACACAATCCTGTCTCATTGCGGGGTGTCAGGCTTTTAGGTAAGAGGCTCAGGTGGAAAAGCACTGAGAAGGAAAAAATCCTGGGGTGCTGATTTCCTCCGCTGCCCAGCTCCCCAGGGGGCCACTGTTAGGATATAGTTCCGTTCCACCTTAAAAGGGAGCAGGCTGTTGTGTGTCACATGCCTATTTACTTCCAGCTTCTGCTGGGAACTTCCGTTTTGTATATAGCTTTTGTACTCTGGCTGTTTTCCTGGAGACGGAGGCAAGCAGTCATGTTTTTCCTTTCTTCTGAACTACATTGAATAAAGCTGTGACTCTGCTCTCCTGTCTGCATCTTTCCTTGTGGAGACTATGCTCAAAGGGTGGGCCTGGGAATGTCTCTGAGGCTCCTGTCCCTAATTGACTGATGCTGTTCCACAGGAGACCGGTGGTCGTCCGGAGACACCTGGGGGCTGCCTGATGCCTCCGTCTCCCGGGCAGTGTCCCAACAGCCACACCCCGCGGTCCCTCCGGGGTCAGCAAAGAAGGAGAATCCAGGCAAGTTAAAGGAGCAAAACAGCAGTCAGGAGACCGGAGCTTTATTTGTTGCAACAAGGTTCATCCACACAAAGAGTAGGAACCCCGAGAAGATGGTTGCATGAACTTTTAAGACTTTTACTCTCTTTCCCATAATAAATTCTCCAACAATTTCATCAATACATGACATGGGGTTTTTTGGGGGGTTGTTGCTGTTGGCGTTTTGTATTTATATTTTAGTTCTTCTTCTGATACATGTGGAAATTGTTCAATTTTTCAATCCCAGCATTCCAAACTAACCCTATCGCCATCTAGCATTTCCTAAAATTTGCTCTTCTACTGTGATTACCATTTATACATTAATGTCATTGATACATGCGTATAAAACTTTAAATACAAACACCAAGACATTGCACTGAAACGTTCGGTAAATGCGCATGCATGCACTTTCCAAGTGTCTCATTCGAGAGCCAGTGGGGTGCAGTGCTTAAGAGTTTTGGACTAGGACCTGGGAGACCTGGGTTCAAATCCCCACTCAGCCATGAAGCCCACTGGGTGATGGCTTCACAGCCCAACCTACCTCACAGGGTTGTTGTCAGGATTAAACGATGAGGGGGAGAACGACTTAAGACCACACTGAGCTTCCTGAAGAAACAGGTGGTATATAAAGGCATCCAATAAATTTCACTAAGAAGAAAGGTAAGATTCTGTACTTAGGCAAGACGAATCAGCTGCACAAATATAAGATGGGGGATACCGGGCTTGCCAGTAGTACACCTTAAAGGTAAAGGGACCCCTGACCATGAGGTCCAGTTGTGGCCGACTCTGGGGTTGCGGTGCTCATCTCGCTTTACTGGCCGATGGAGCCGGCGTACAGCTTCTTAGTCATGTGGTCCACGAAGGTTGTCTGCTACACATTGTTGTGTAGCAGTGTGTAGCAGAGAGCCAGTGGGGTGCAGTGGTTAAGAGTGGTAGTCTCGTAATCTGGGGAACCGGGTTCGTGTCTCCGCTCCTCCACATGCAGCTGCTGGGTGACCTTGGGCTAGTCACACTTTGAAGTCTCTCAGCCCCACTCACCTCATAGAGTGTTTGTTGTGGGGGAGGAAGGGAAAGGAGAATGTTAGCAGCTTTGAGACTCCTGAAGGGGAGTGAAAGGCGGGATATCAAATCGAAACTCCTCTTCTTCTTCTTTCTGTGCATTAAATGGTGTTTTGTTTCCTTGGGATCGTCCTGCTGCACCTTTTAATTGTGGGTGCTCCTTTCAATGTCTTAATGGAATTCTCTTCTTGTGTGATTTAGGGATTGTTACGGCTAAAATCTGGGTGCGGAGTTGCCCTGCCACCCAGCTCGTCGGACTAAGTCCGCGGGTCCTAGCGGGAAAAGTAAGCTCAGCCGGACACAGGAGCAAACTGCGGAGACCCAAAGTTTATTGCGCAACAGGTTCAAACTGGCATTGAACCCCGAGAATGGGGCGACATAGACTTTTAAAAGTTCCCTCCAAGTCCCAGAATACAGTGCACGAAACGTCATGAATATATTTTGGGAAGGTTGGGTTTCATGGATTACATCATGAATATATTACACACGTCAGGAATATCTCAGAGGAAAGGTGGGGTTACACTAATTAACATTTGAGATAAGGGAGGGGGGAATATGCAGAGTGAGAGGTATACATGGGTAAACATTTATTGAATACCGGTGGTGGCAAGACAATGGGCCAGAGATATGCATCGTCTGCCACCTAATATTGCCCGGAGGAAGGGTTAGGCGAAGCGATCTGACAGGATTAAGAAGTTCCTGTGTACGTGTCCTGTCGCTTCGGGGATTATGGAGGTAGGGGTCACATCATGGAGTCCAAAGGGAGCTGAGCAGAATGACACCAAAAGCAAAGAAATCGGAGTTACGGTTG